CAGCAGGAACAGGATTTGCAATGAGGGCAACAGCAGAAAGGGGAATGCTAACCACTTATAACAAGGTAATTTTGAGTGGAGGCAGGTAAAGATCTCTGTATTTGACTCCAGCTACAGTCTTTTATATCTTGGTGTCTATAGCTTAAGATTTCCCTGTATTGTAGCTGTGCCTACACTTAGATTAAACTGTACATCAAATATATTTTATTGCTTTTTAAGAGTGAAAATTTTATAAAGCTACTCCAGCATCTCAAGTTGACTTCCATTCAGCTGCAACAAACCAGCCTTGCCAAAAAGGGTGAATTCTTGAAAAGAGAACTGCAAAGAAAAATGACTTCTGTACATGCATGTCTAACTACTAAGCAAGGTGTATCATGTGATACTGCTAGTATTTCATGCCATGGTCATCAGCAAACACAACATTTTCATAAAACTCCTGGTTAGAGGAGAAGAAAAGAAGCTAGTTATATTATGGGCTGTTTGGAAATCCGATTTCCCCACCTCTTATCCTGGGGCACAGCCTTGCACGACCAAGCAACTAAATTTCTACTTTTGTTGGGTAATTTTCTTTGTTTGGAGTGAACTCCAAGTTCTGCTCCTGCAAATGGAGATGGGAGTAGGGGTTAACAAAGTGTCCAAATCCTCCATTTTAGTCACAGGCAGTCCAGAGCGAGCAGTTATTTGTCTAGAGACAAATGACTCCAATACCAAAAAGTCTCTACAATGACCATGGTTGACTCCAGCAGGCCAGTGCTAATTTTTAGCAGCTAAGCCAAACCAACTGAGGTCCACAACCATTCCCTCTGGTTGCTCCCTTCTTCTGTAAAAGGACATTTTTCAGAAGTGCTTAGCGTTGATTTGACTGCAGTGGAAGTAGAACTGAGGAGCTGCTGCCTATTCACGAGAATAAAAAGACAAACCTTATACATGGGGAAAAATCCACATGGTCAAAAGGACAGCTCTAAGGAGTGTTGCAATGAAACATACTTCAAGTATGATGCACCCCAAAAGGCATGTAATACAGCCACTGTACTGCACAATTGTGCACCTGCTAATAGACACACTCGAGACCCAGTGCAGTATTAGGGTGGCTCTATTACACCCATTTTGTGGTGTAGTCTCCTGAGCTGGTGCAATGTTTCCTGATACAGTCTATTGAAATTATAGATGTGCCCCTGGCATCTGACAAACTTAACACTTCAAGCTTCTCCATCTGTGATGACTCTTCTGCAGAAATAATACTAAACCATTTGGACAAGTTGTACTAGTGGCTCTATTAAGAAAATGTATTATGGTACTCTTACCTGTGAAAGAAGAGCTAATAGCAGGTGGCATGTATCTAGCAAACAATGATTTTGCAAAGAAAGCCAATATCCATAGCATTCCTCTGAAGGATTTAATTCAGGGGTGAGCAAACCCTTTTGCACGATAACATTAGTAATAATTATTGACAGTGCAAAGAAATGGAAAATCTGGCTGACAAAGAATGAATTGGCTCTTTCATACTGACTGGGTCCAGAAACTCTTCCTATAGTCCTGGACTTCTTCATAAAAATAAATAGAAGACCCATATTTTGCCTTAGGTTCATGCTGAGCACAGGAGGGGCACAGTGACCGACAGATCACTCACTGGGTTAACAACCTCATCTACTGCATCACCTAAACATGCCTTGGAAATCTGCCACCCCTGTACTGACTTGCTCAACTTCACAAGATCCCCCATCACTGAGCCTGTCACATATAGGAATGGGCATCACAAGGGCTGCACTCCTCTACCAATGGCATAAAGCTCCCAACTAGGCGGGAAAGTGGACGCAAGCCCTTGCCAAACATCTGTGTCTGTTGGCAGTTTCACAGGTTTGGAAGGATGCCCTGTGTCAGATGAGAAACAGCAGGCAGCTGTGCTGCGAAGGCAGATACTTTACTGACCCAGCGAGGTTGGTTCCCCTCCTTTACAAGGCAGCAAACCTTTGTGCTAGTGCGAGCCCCCCAACCTGTGATTCAGTGGGGGGAGCTCTCTAAAGGGTTAGCTTGGATGAGATGCTCCTGTGCCAGTGTAGACATCATGCAGAGAGAAACCATTGTGGGAATAGGAACACATGGAATAATATACCAACAATGGCCTTCTCAGGGGCCTGGTGGGGAACATGGTCATAATATTCTCTCATTTATTCCATCACTAAATTCTATTTGCTCTGCATTTCGTTTGTCATTGTCCTCCAGACTTCTGCAAATAAAACATACACCTGCACTACAGAAGTCACCAGCGCAAATATAAAGGTTTGGCAGCAGGGGAGCAGACACATGGAGCTCTTGGCTTCTAGAGTAGACTGTCACTAGTCTTTGCCATTTTCAAGAAGCCTAGGCCAAGCAGAAAAGCCCCAAAGTCTGTTTGTGAGTGACCACAGAATGAACCTGTGCAGATGTGACAGCCAGCTTGGTCAGTGAAGTAAAGGAAGCAATTAACATGTTCAGCTTAACCAATAATGAGAGCCAATTAAACAGAACACAAGGCCTTCAGGTAATCCAAATATCCTATATCACAGCTTCATCTTATAGTAATGACTAGAATTATGGAATCATAGAAAATTAGGGTTGAGAGGGACCTCAGGAGGTCATCTAGTCAAAGCAGGACCATCCCCAACCAGATCATCCTAGTCAAAGTTTTGTTTAGCTGGGTCCTAAAAACCTCCAAGGATGGAGATGCCACAACTTCTCCGGATAGTTTGTTCTAGTGCTTTACTACCCTCCTAGTGAGAGGGTTTTTCCTAATATTCAGCCTAAACTTCCCTGCTGCAACTTGAGACCAGTGCTCCTTCCTTTGTTATCTGCCACCACTGAGAACAGTCCAGCTCCATCCTCTTTCAGTGTTTCTCAGCCTTTTAAGTAGCAAGTACCCCCTAACTTCTGAAAATTTTAATAAGTACCCCAACACTCCATTTTCCAGGTGATTTTATATTTACAGACTAATGTGTGCCATATGTTGGAAGAAGGGCTGTGTATATAAGGCCGTGATATGACAGATGTCTGATCTGGTGTGGGAAGGGTTGCCACCGTTTACACCAGGGGTGCACAACTCAAATACCTGGGCTTGAGGTGATGTTGGCCAAAGCTAGGAGGGCTGAACCCAGTGCCGCGCAAAACACGGCACAACAAATTATCACTGAGGAATTTAATTTTTTAAACTCCAAATTTTTTTCCATAGTTTTGAGAGAAGGAAGGGGTGAGAGACAGAGTATTGGGGTACCCACATACCCCCTGCCTGCGTCTGATGTACCCCCCAGGGGTACATGTACCATAGGTTGAGAAACTCTGCTCTTTCAACGCCCCCTTCAGGTAATTAAAGGATGCTATCAAATCCCCCTTCAGTCTTCTCTTCTGCAAACTAAATAAGTCCATTTCCCTCAGCCTGTCCGCATAAGTCATGTTCCCAACCCCCTTCACCATTTCTGTTGCCCTCCACTAGACTTTCTCCAGCTTGTCTACATCCTTTCTGTAGGGTGGGGGGGGGTGGGGTGGCAAAAAACCCATCACGGTACTCCAGATGTGGCCTCTAGTGTAACCAGATGTATTGAATATGGTTTTATAATAGCTATTTATTAAGTTTTTTAGATAAGTTGTAAAAGTAAAGCAGCTTTGTTACTGAAGACTAAACCAAGGTGAAAAAGAAACAGGACAGGGTTGAACAGCATTCCACAATGGCAAGCGAAGGAGATAAGGTATCCTCCCGTCTAGAAGTCTA